TGAATAGACAAATTAAAAACAACATTAATAATAATAATAATAATAATAATAATAATAATAATAATAATAATAATAATAATAATAATAATAATAATAATACATGAATTTTGAACACATTGGAATATTATGAAGCACATTCCGAAAAACAAATGACACTGATATTTCTAGACACACAGAAAGCATTTGACAATGTAAACTGGTGATGATACTGAAACTAAAAATATGGAATTTAGGGTGAAATTTATCAATATGTTCAAGGAAATATACACTAAACAGACAGCAAAAGTGTTTGTGAATGGGAACATAACAGAAAATATTAATATTGAAAGAGACACAAGACAAGGATGCCCATTGTCCCCCCTTATTATTTATTCTGACTCTGAAAGTGTTAAATAGAATCATCCGTCAAGATATAGAAATAAAAGGCGTGGAGATAAAAATAAGAAAAATACAAACTACAAACTTTCCAAGATTTGGTTTTCATCCTAGAGGAACCGCAAGAAACGGGACCTAAACTAATAAAGAAAAGAAGACAAATACTTAAAAATTAACACAGCAAATCAAACTGGATCTGGAAAAGTGGGAAAACATGCAATTATCATGTTTTAGGAAGAATAGCTGCTATCAAAATGAATATCTTACCGAGACTGTCATACCTGTTCCAAACAACCCCAATAAAGCTAGAAAGGAAATAATTTGAGGAATTGAATAGAATGGTAACCAAATTTATATGGCAAGGTAGAAAGGCAAGAATTAGGGTGAAAATAATGCAAGAATCTACCAATAGAGGAGGTTTTGGGTTGCCAAATAGGGAATTATACTATCAAGTAGCTGCCCTTGAAGGAATGGATATCTCTGAGACATAGATGATTACTTGTAGTAAAGGAACACGACTTAGAACTGGGATGGCATGCCTTTCTATGATACAAGAAATACAAAACACATAAATACTTTCAAGGACATTACATTAGAAACGCTCTGCCTTCAGCATTGGCAAAAATAAAGGAAAAACACTATTTGAAAATATCAATCTGGCTTTCCATGATGGAGGCACTAACAAACCCAAATGTTATGGATATGGGAAAAATTGTAAGATACAAAGATATTTTAAATGAGAAGGGGGAATTGAAAAACAAACAGGAATTGAGTAGCCAAGAGATAAATTTAGCATGGTGACCATGCATAAAAATGTTAAAACATATGGTTTTTATAAAGAACCAACAAAATTGGATCAAGTCATAATAGGACCAGAGGAGAAACTGATTAAAAAATTCTATAATTTTTTATTGACTATTAGAATGGAAGAAGACCAAGTAAAAGAAACCATGATAGCATAGGCTAAAAATTTTGGGCCTTCTATAGAAATGAACAAATAGCAAAAGTTGTTGGACAGAAACTATAAATTGACAACATCCACTGCATACGAAGCAAACTTATACAAAATGTTTTATAGATGGCACTTCCCACAGCTTATTTATATGTTGCTTCACAGTGCTTTACAGCCCTCTTTAAGCAGTTTACAGAGTCAGCATATTGCCCACAATGATCTGGGTCCTCATTTTATTGACCTCAGAAGGATGGAAGGCTGAATCAATCTTGAGCCTAGTGAGATTCGAACTGCCAAATTGCAGGCAGCCAGTAGTCAGCAGAAATAGCCTGCAGTACTGCATTCTAACCACTGTGCCACCGGAGGTCTTACTATAATAATAATCCCCTGACTATGTTTTCAGAAAGATTCCTTTTCTCTCTCTTTATTTGTTTGGAATGTTTTGAAATCAAATGCATAAAATCTTTCCAAATTTTGTAACAATTTTTCCTTCCTTTTTCTCATCCTTATTAGCTGAGATGTTGTGGTGTCCAGAACTACACCAACTGGAATACTAGCCCTTATTTTAGTGAACATGGAATTCCCCCAAGTTGTTGTATGAATGCAAGTGATTGTAATTCTATGGACCTGCGTAACATGACTATTGCTCCCACTAAAATAAACCAGAAGGTATGGTTCATTTCAGTATTTCAGAATAAAATACTTAATGCATACATATGTAAATGTATTTCTCTTATCCCTCTTATGCCCACTATTTTGTGATCCTGTCTTTGGCTATTGATTATTAATAGCAAAAGTAAATCAAGTAAATAAATTAAATAAATGTACCAAAACATGTTTCTTGCAGATTGCTAATGCTCTTATCATGGTGGTGATGTTTTCTAGCTAATAACAGGAAAAATATGTTTTCCATATAGCCCCATTAAAAAACTTTCTCAGTGATTTCTGAACTAACTTCCTTATCTATTATGGCTATAAACTTTTTAAAAATCCTTTCTTTTTACAACTCTGTAATCCCTTAATTTGGTATAAAGTTGGGGAGACTTGATAGAGCTGAATGTTTACTTCCAGATGCCCTTCCTGACACCACACGGAGTTTGCAGCACATTTTTTTTTTGCACCCTGAGAGAGAAACATTGGCTGCTACCTAGGATTGAACTCTTAACCTTCTAAGTGGGAGGCGAGCATCTTCACCACTAGACCACCACATCACTCCTATTATTACAAACGTCCCCAAAATAATTATTGCTTCAAGCAAAGAATTCAACAAATAGATTCAAATCTATTAGCAGCTGCTTAGTGCAAATGGCAAGTCTACTTGAATCTATTTATGACAGTTGTTATGGCTGTCTTTTATTAGTTTCTATCTCCTTTTTAAAATTCATTATTTGGGACATGTTTCACATGTTATGTGCTAACAATCTAAATAAATGTAGAAAACAGAATAAGTGATCAGAGCCTATCCTTTATTAGATATATTACTGTATATTTTATAGCTTTATGAAATTCATGTTGCAGGAAGAACATAGCAAAAATTGCCACAAATCAAGGTTTGTAAACATAGTGCAGTGATGGTTAACCTTTTTGGTGCCGAGTGCCGAAAGTGTGCGTGTGTGCCCTAATCCCCAAAATGCAATGCGAGCACTCCCTGCACATGCAACCCTCGTGCCCCATTTTGGCTTCCAGGTTGGTGCAGGAGGCTTTCCAGGCCCAAAACGGGGCACAGGGGGCCTCGCGTGGCACCTCTGCACTCCATTTTGGCTTCCAGGTTGGTGCAGGTGGCATCAATGGAGGAGAAAGGTAGGGTGCACTGGGGGAGAATCTGCGGAGATCAGGGAAGGCGCTGCTGCCCGCACATGCGCGGCAGAGACCCAAAGACCAGCTGGCTGGCAGGAGTCACATGCACATGCGTGGTGGAGCTGGGCTGGGGCAACGGCTGGTGTGCCCGCAGAGAGGGCTCTGCATGCTACCTATGGCACGCATGCCATAGGTTCACCATCACAGTTATAGTGTATGAAAACAAATGGAATGATTAAATATTAGAAAACTTTGTTTCATGGCACATACAATATATAAAGCCAAATAGAGTTTGTTTCATAAAAATATATTTTATTCAGTTCTAAGGTTAGAGGGAGCAAATCAACGCAGAAAATATAGACTATTGAATTCTACAAAACTTTCATAAAAGAGCATGAATGTTGATACATTAAATACAGTATAAATCTTAATCATGTTATATCACTTCAGTATAATGATAGGAGGAAATCGAATTTCAGGATAGGGGCACCCCTACTAAAAACACAGCAGAGTGAGCCTCCATTCTCCTCACTTTGCAGAAGTGAGGGTCACAAGATTTTCCAGGAAAAAATTGTGCAAGTGCCCTAGTGCCAACCCATGTAAAACCAGTACTTCAAATTGCACTGAATCAAAGTGCAATTCGTGATTTTCTCATGCCAGTGATTTTGTGATTTTCTCATGCCAGTATGTATCAGCCAGCATTTAGGGTACATTTAGACCAACTATAAGGTTCCAGGTCATATTGAAAAGCAGCCCAATATATAGCATACTGCAACAGATATATGCCATGATAAATTAGACTAATTTCATGTCCAGTTATGTTGTCTCATACACT